TCATTTTCTATAAAGAATACCCTTGAAGGGACTTCAGAGTTTATCTGATCCAAAAATTTCTAAGGTGTTGGCCTGAGGGCCACATATGGGTTGCTTGGTTGGTTTGTTTTTCTGATACAAGATTTTTTTTAATTATTAATTTAAGATTTGGAAAATGTCATATAAGTCTGGATTCCTGGCTTCTCTTGAGGAACTGGAAGATCAGGTGACCTCAGGCCTGAACTCCTGCCCGGCAACATTGGGCTGGAGGTGAGAGGTCACCACCACCACCATAGAGGTCACCACAAGTCATTACTCATTTGTGTTACCTGTTGACCCCTGCACACATTTGAGTCTGTGACTCCTTGCGTCCTCCAGCTCCTTCAATTTAGAAAAGAGGAAAGTGTGACCCAGAGAGGTCTGGTGTACTTGCACAGGGTCACGGAGCTGGGATTGGCAGAGCTGGGTCTAAAACCCCGGGTTTTTCTTCCTGGGCCCCTTAGAATATGCTCTATGCCAAATGAGCACAAATACTTTTATTGATGAATTAGGTGATTCCAAAGGCGTTCTCCTGTGAAACTTCTTTATTTCAGTAGTCAGATCAAGTTTATTGTTACAAATGAATGCAGTGCTTTAAGACAGAGCTAAATTATGACCTGTCTTACTCATCTCTGTGATTATAAGCACAATTTGGGGTCAGACCACACCTAACTCTGCCATTATCATGGGCAAATTTCTCACCTTTTTTTTTTTTTTTTTTTTTTTTTGTTGCGGTACGCGGGCCTCTCACTGTTGTGGCCTCTCCCGTTGCGGAGCACAGGCTCCGGACGCGCAGGCTCAGCGGCCATGGCTCAGCGGCCCAGCCGCTCAGCGGCATGTGGGATCTTCCCGGACCGGGGCACGAACCCATGCCCCTTGCATTGGCAGGCAGACTCTCGACCACTGCGCCACCAGGGAAGCCCTCTCACCTTTTTAATAATAGTTGTACAAACCACAAAGTGCAGTGGTGAAAATTAAATGAAATATTTCATGTAAACTTCTCAGTATAGGGTCTGGAATATAGTAAGTGTTCAACATATGTTGTTGAATTAGGACCTCAGAGAAATTAAAATAAATATGGCAAAATAGCAAAGTAGCTAAACAATTTTGCATCTGAAAATATGTATGAGTTCACAGTGATCCCATCAATTCAAATCCAACACCAGAGTGTTTTCTTTATCTTTACCACTTTATATATTCATTCTTTGTGATATTTCATCTAACCTACAAAACATGATATATGTCAGTACAAACTTATTGATTAAAGTTCACAATTTAGGGACTTCCCTGGTGGTCCAGTGGTTAAGACTCCTTGCTTCCAATACAGGGAGCACGAGTTCCATCCCTGGTCGGGGAACTAAGATCCCACATGCTGCACAGCGTGGCCAAAAAATTAATCAATATTTTAAAATATATTTTTTTAAAGTTCAAGATTTATTTGTGGTTATTTACATCCTTAGAATATACCCCAATAATAGTGCACAGTCAGGATGTTATGTTCAAACAAAACTTGAATTAATCCCTTACGCTTGGGTGGTTGAGTTCTCAATAAGATGTACAGTTGGGTCAATTTGCTGCTGTTTGTATTGATTTTAGAATCTCTTTTATTTCATCTTTTATGATTTAATTTTGGGTTTTAATATGTTATCCTTGTTTCAACCAATAAGTACTATGTTACTGGGATTAAAGTAATGAAGAAGACAGAGTGTCTGTCTTCTAAAAGCTTATAGGTGGTAGAGGAAACACACATATAAACAGACCATTACTATAAACTGTGTCTTGGAGGTATGGATGGAGAGCTGAGGGGTCGTGGTGGTTTGACTGGTAGATAATGGGGGCTTGATAAAGCTTGCTGAACAAATCAATGAATGACTGAATCAATGAACCGATTTTTCCTTTTATTTGTCCCCTCTAGACTATGAGCTCTTCAAGATGAGGACTCAACCTAATTGATCTCTGTATCCCAGGAAGGGCCAGAATTGGTCCCAATCTATGCCTTTAGAATAAAAAGCAGCCATTCTAGGGCCCTGCCTTCAGCACTAGGACTAAATTAGTTCCATGAATGCCATATATTTCATTTGTCAGAGTAGCTGTCCCAGTTCCTCCCGTGCTGTCTCAGCACTTTCCCGCTCTTTTCTTTTCTTATGGCTATTACATTTTAATATATATTAAACATTATTATTTTTAACATCTTTATTAGAGTATAATTGCTTTACAATGCTGTGTTAGTTTCTGCTGTATAACAAAGGGAATCAGCTATACGTATACATATATCCCCATATCCCCTCCCTCTTGCATCTCCCTCCCACCCTCCCTATTCCACCCCTCTAGGTGGTCACAAAGCACTGAGCTGATTTCAGTCAAGTTCATCACTTTCTTCACTTGTCTTCATGGAAAACCATGTTCCTATTTTAAAATGAGGGCGGGGTGGGGTTGGGGAATACTATTCATTGAAAAAGAAAAAAGAAGAAAATAATGGAGGGATTTCCCTGGTGGTGCAGTGGTTAAGAATCTGCCTGCCAATGCAGGCGACACAGGTTCGATCCCTGGTCTGGGAAGATCCCACATGCCGCAGAGCAGCTAAGCCCGTGCGCCACAGCTACTGAGCCTGTGCTCTAAAGCCTGTGAGCCACATATACTGAGCCCACGTGCTGCAACTACTGAAGCCTGTGCATCTAGAGCCCGTGCTCCGCAACAAGAGCCAAGCTGTGCGTGCAGAAGCTCGTGACTTCTGTGGCCCGGGGCCAAAGTCAAAGACTCCCAGCAACTAAGGGTGACCTGAGACCTAGTGGTTCCCAAGGCGCTTTTCTCCCTCCAGCAGTCAACTTGGATCTAATTATTCTACCCATTCCAGGAAATTCCCTGGAAGGCAGCTCTGTGGAACTGAACTGGGAGATTTCACAAAGGGAGATTTGTTCTTGCACCAAAGGCTCCAGTTAACTACCTTATTTCTTCCAAGTCTTACCCTTTTCCAATGCCCTTTCAGTACAATATTCACTGGGAGGGAGCTTGTCCTTCTAGCACATTTTTTTTCTTCCAGCGCTTTTGTCTTCTGACTTTATTCTAGCAAGGAGAGCTGCCCACCTTTACAGCCACCGGAGTAGTGGGTGGTCGGGAGAGCAGGGGCTTGGATTGGCAATGACAGCAGGGGTTGTTGAACTCTGGGTGGGCTTGAAGAATGAAAAGTATAGTTCTTAGATTGATGTCTGCGGGGCAGTGGTCATGTTGATACCTTTTGTCAGTATCCAGCTTGCGATGGGAGCCAGCTCTTAGTGAAAGGTCTGAGGAGGATCTCTGGCCCAGTCCTCTCAAGTGGGCAAGTATTAACCATCTAGGATGATTCAAAACTCACCTAGGATGAGAGAAAGTGTGGCTGACCCTGCTCATTGGCAAGAGGGCCATTCCCTACCCTCTTCTCCATTGCCCACAGTGTCACAGGGTCTCAGCTTCCAAACCAAGTAGGCTCGTCAAGCAATTTCCTCCAGAATAAAAACAGGTTCTAGCATTTTTTTGAATTTAAAAAACTAACCTTGATGGTACTCTATGTGTTATGCACTATTCTGAGAACTGTACATCTATTTTCTCACTTAAAGCTTAAACAACCCAAAGAGATGGGCACAATTATCACCCCCATTTTACAGGTAGAGAAACTGAGCTCTGTTCTAAGCACTTTACATGTGTCAGGCCCTAGAGATCAGATGGATCTGTATGACCGTCAACGTGAGGCTAGCAGACCTGGGAGGCAGGTGCCATGCTCCGTGTGCTTCCACCATGCGCCATTCACTTCAGTTATTTCTAATCCCAGAAACAACAATGGCCACGTCTGACAGTGACAAAGCGACAACTGAGTGCCCTTAAGGGCAAGAACGACTCCTCTACCCGACCGGTCTGTGGAGTCATTTGGGGTGCTGCTCTTGACTAAGTGGCTTCCAAACTGTTCTCCTGCCCTCCCAGAGAACCTGTCAGCCTCTGAGATTCCCTAGAAAATGTATTTCCAGCAAGAGTTGTATTCAGCCGTTGCAGCTGAAGTCAGTGGTTGATACGTGTGTACAACACGTGTTAGTTTTCTCTTCTCTGCAAGTCTGCATGGTGTATCAAGATTTTAAATGTTGTTTCACACTTACATCCCTTATTAAGAATCACAAATTTCACTATGTCATCACATAGACTCTTGGAAAGTCTCAAGTGAGTTTTCTTAACAGAAGAAAGGTGTGTCATCATGTGATTCTCCAAGCTGAGATTCTTCTTGGAAAGCAAACAGCACTATTCCTTCTTTGATGTCTCTGAGGACAAAGAGGAATGGGTGAGGGTTTTCAGGTCTTCAACAGACTGTGAGTTTGGACTCCTCTGGGCACCTATTCCAGCCTCCCCCACTCACGAGACATACCCAGGATGATCCTCTCTTCCAGTTGCCCAACTCACTTGACCTTGGGGTGGGGTAGGTGAGAGGATGTGTTGCCTTTAGAAGCCCATCTCCAGCTTGTTTAATTCTTGCTCCAAACCCATAGATAATTTTTGCAGGTTTTTTCCCAGCTCCACTGAGGTATGATTGACAAATAAATATATATTTGAGGTATACAATGTGATGTTTTGGTATATGTATACATTATGAAATGATTATCACAATTAATCTAATTAACATATTCATCATCTCACATAGTTGTGTGTGTGTGTGTGTGTGTGTGTGTGTGTGTGTGTGTGTGTGTGTGGTGAAAAAACTTGAGACCTACTCTCTTAGAAAATTTCAAATACACAACACAGTATTGTTAACCTTCTTCACCATGTTGTACACTAGGTCTCCAGAGCTTATTCATCTTATAACCAAAACTTCACAACACCCTTTTACCAGCATCTCCCAGTTTCCCCCACCTGCCAGGCCCTGGTAACCACCATTCTATTTGCTGTTACTATTGATATAAAGTTGACTTTCTTAGATTCCGCATATAAGTGAGGTCAAACAGTATTTGCAGACACAATTGTTGTTAAAAGAATGATTCCACAAAGTCCTTTATTACTCATTTATTATTTTTACAGTATAACTCATTTATATCTGTTATAAATATATTCCAAACTGGAGATTCACAGATGTTAATGAACTTGCTCACTGGGTCACTTGTCTCTTAATCCCACTACCTTGTGCTGTTTGCGCTTTGACTAAAGGATGAAAAAGGCAATGTGAACCCATGTGAATGAAGTTCAAGGATAAATGCTGTCAGGGACCAATTCCAACCCTTCTGTGCTTTGTGTGTGTGATCCGAGGGCCAGCCAACCACTGCCTCTCAGGGTAGCAACTGACTCCCTGATGGATTGATAAAAAACACATATTAAAATGATGACTCATGTAGTAAAAATAAATTGCTTCATTATTTTTAAAAAACTGTGAGAAAAATGTTAGGTTAACGTTGCATTTATAAAATGCCTCTTAAAGTTATACTCTAGGTTTAACATTTTACTTCATACAATTTTAATTTGCCATACAGAACATTTACCTATATACATAAGTACTTGCCTTTTAAAAACCCACAAAAACAGAGTCATTCTGTGCAGTACAGATTCTACCTGAGATGCTCGAGTCACAGTCTTAGGAGTTATTCTCAGGAGGAATGGGATGCCAGGAAGTAAGTCAACATGGCTCCTGCTGCACCCTTTCCATCGGGGAGTGTGCACTTCTGGGTTGAGCTTGTTTCCAACAAGGGCTAAAATGCACAGACAGCTGTCAAGCCAAAGAAAGAATGTGTTTTGCCAAAATATTTGATATATACTTGGCCTTGTCTGCCAGGTCTATAAGAGACACAGATGTGGCATGAAACAGAACAACATAATCAGTGACATGGGGCTAAAGAAAGACCCACTGAATGTGGCATCACTGTGGATTGAGAGACACTGTTTTTTGTAACACAAAAGTGTGTGTACACATACACACAGTTATACATACATATGTATGTATGTGTATCCTTTCAAGTATCAGAACTGTATTTGAAAGTGTGCCTCAAATATTATGAGGTCATTAACCATTACAGAAGGAAAATAGAGAGCCTTTAGGAGTTGGAAAAGCCTTTGAGTGAGTATGATGGTGGGTACCAGTTGGCATAGTAAGAGGATTTCCTAGAGCAAACAAGAATAAAGTGGGGAGACAGGGCATAGCAGGTTTATGAGTAAGATATGAGGTTCATAAGCAATCAATATTTCAGTAGAGATGTCACTTATAAGAAGAGCGATATGGAGGATCTATTTAGATACGTAGGCCAGAAAGTCCTTAGGGCTACAGGTGCATGGTCAATGGCAAAGGTGCAAAATTGGAACTACAGAGAGAACGGAGGCAGGGATGAAACATCATGGTAATGAAGATACAAAGGTGTTGCAAGAAGAAAATAGCACCTCAGGCCCCAGCCACCTCCAGGGCTCCTCAGGGCTCTCTGCAGCATTGTGTGAAGCCTTGGGACCAGCCTCCTCTTTGGTCTCCACCAGCTTTGACCTTAAACACTTAAATGAGTCTTCTTGGGAGAAGATTCTCACAAATTGATTTTTACTAAATCCATTTCATCTCTGAAAGGGGACATAAAGAACAAAATTTTCCTAACACAGGAGCCACTGCATGGGGTATCCTGGTGAACAGGAAGGTATCTTAAAGGATCCAGAACTCAGCAAGCAACCCCAACAATAAGGCAGAGTCTTGAGAAGAAAACAGCCAGGTTACCCAGTGGATTAGCAGGGAGCTATTTCTGAGGACATTCTGCAGGTAGGCAGGAGGAAAGTCTGAATCTTAATCAGAACTGGTCCCTAGCATCCATTCTCATGTCCAGCCAAGACTACAACCCACAAGGATGTGCCTAAGTGGAGAACAGGCTGTAGATGTAGGGGCTGCTGAAGGAAACAGGATTGTCAACCAGGGGCAGGCAGACAGGGGTGAGTGATTTCTTACATATGAGACACTATGCTAGACTGTCAAGTTTTGTCATCTTTTTTAGTTCTTACCACATTTTGATGAGGGTAAGTTTATAATCCTTATTTAAGTGACAAAGAAGCTGAATTTCAGAGAGGTTAGGTACTTCATTCTAGATCACAGAATGACGCCAAAATATGAACCCAGAAATGTCTGACTCCAAAATTTATGCTGTTTTCAACAAACCTAGTGGGTTCCCTGAAGGATTCTCAAATTAGCTTATTAATTCTTCACTCAATGCATCTATGTTTTAACCAAAAAACTAGAAAATCTCCAGATGTTTAAAAATTAAGCAACACGTTTTGAAATAACAATTAAATCAGAAAATATTTTTAACTAAATGATAATGAAAAGAGACATATCCAAACATTTTAAGAGCTGCAGCTGAAGTAGCACTCAGAGAAAAATTTATAGTGTTAAAATGTACATATAAGAAAAGAAAATGTACTGAAAAATCAATGATCTAAACCTCCATCTTAAGAAGCTGAATAAAGAAACCCAAAGAGATTAGAATATCTATATCTCTAATAATAAAGAGAAAAGCAAAACCCAAATAAGTAGAAAGAGAAAATCAACAAAGTTAAAGGTTGGTTCTTTGAAAAAGTAGTAAAAGTGATAATCCCCAAGCAAGACTAATCAAGTAAAATTCAAGTGAGAAATAAATTGTCACATCAAGAACAAATATATATATTTTAACTGCCTCCTACATAAATAAGACACTGAGAATGAGGAGGAGAAGGAAGAGGAAGAGGACAAAAAAAGTATCTGTTTTGAAGCCATCTAGAAAATCACGTTTCAGATTCTATTGTATTTAATTTAATCCAACATGCATTTATTGGAAGAGAACATAAGGGCTGTCCATCTGGTTTTATCAGTCTAGAAAGATAGAGCACATGAATTTTGGAGTTCAATAAAGCTGAGTTCAAATTCATTCTCTACCTTGAACTAAATGTATGATTTTGGGAAAAGTATATAAACTCTGAACTTCCTTTTTCTCATTTGACAAATGGGGGATAATAATATCAACCTCATAGGGCTATCGGAAGGATTAGAGGTAAAGCACCAAGCGTGTGGGTAGCTTATATCTTACAGAATATTTTTCCCAACATGACCCATAACCATGGCATTTATAGTTTATCTGTAGGAAGGATACAAAAATATATCCTGAAACAAGGTCATTCATTTGGAAATGTAACCTTTTCTGAAAAGTCTGGGCATTTACTTTTCTTGACCTGCCAATAAGAGAGGCTTGGAGTGGTCATTCTCCAAGGGAAAGGATGTTACCAACATATTAATAACATAAAGCATCATATGAAAATTAAACTGAAATAATATAAAATTTCCACTCTAATGTTATACAATAATTAATTTTTCTTGACTATTAGGAGATCGAAATAAAAACTATGCCAATAACCTAAGTTATTTTAAGACTCTAGAGGAAAAGGCTCCCATCTGCAGTGCTGATATTATGACAGAGAATTCCCTCGAATCCTCAGCTTTCCACGAGCGTGTCTCCTGAGTCGTGCATTTTGATGTATACTGCAGGGCCTCAACCACGCAGACTGGCTCATCTGCAAGACGAATCCCCAGGCTTTTTCACACACTGAAGGAACTTGCCAGAGCTATGACGAGAAAGGAAAAAAGGCGATCAAGAGGCAGTACAATACACCTATGGTCAACTCACCAATGAAAGAAGTCCCTTTGTTAACGACAAAACTACGCATCGACCACTTAGCATCCACCCAAGTTTCTTTCCTGCAGTGACAACAAGGAGAAAGGTCAAGTCCAAGAGTGAATGACTGAAAGTACAGCCCAACTTAGCTTCATTTCACTTGTAAAGCCATAGAAATAAATAACTGATGTTTGATGATAATATGTGGAGATGAAAATGTCTGGCTCACACAAGTCACAGATATGTGCCATGAATGTCAGCTGAGAGTCAGGAAGCAGCAGAAGCAGCAACCTACGAGGAGGGACCTCCATATTTTCTGTTGAGGATTTGCTTTCTCTTCAAAAACTTCCTGAGGAAGTGTTGGGTCTAAGCATCAGGCAGCAAGAGGTCATAGACTCTCTGGGAGATGGCTGGCAGCCATCAGCAAAAGGACCACAATCCTTGGCACAGAAAGAATCCTAGATAAGTATTAGCAGGTGAATGACTCTCGCTTTCATAAAAATCAAATAACAAAGCCACAGGGTCCAATGGGAGTGGTTAGCACATGGAGGAGAGGGGTAGAGAGCAGGGTAAGTGGTTCCTTAAGTTGCAGCTGAATCTGATTTTGCTAAATGTGAGTGAAGAGAGAGAGCGAGAGGCTTAGAAGCAGCTACCAGTACCTCTGTTTCTAGGATAGGCCATCTCAGGTTCATCTCTAGCCAACTGTCATGACCAATTGGGTATAGTGGCTCTAAGTAGAGAGTCAAGCCATCCTCACCAATACAGTGATCTGAGATTCCCCACATGAATACATTCTAGGAGGGAAAAGTATCTTCTTCCTTAAGGAAATAATGCTTCAGAAAAGGAATCTTTAGAGGACTATTTAGGATTTTTGAAGCCACCTTTGCTTTACAGTAAATGAAGAGAATAGGAAGACATTGCTTAATTAGTTTCTCGTTTATTGGGAAGTCAATTTTGGTAAAGGAGCAGCAATGGTGCTGTTAAGATAATCTCTCTCCAATAATATATAAATATCCACATCCAATGTTCCAGTAAAATGGACACACTTGTGATATGTTGGATAACACATTGAGGATAGAGACAGAGTATCTTGAAATAACATAAAAGGAGAAATGCACCTTTAGGGTTTTTTAATATGCCACTAGGGCACACTAGCCAGAAAAAGCAATCTGACTATTTGCTTTTTTTTGGGGGGGGGGCTGGGGTGTACGCGGGCCTCTCACTGTTGTGGCCTCTCCCGTTGCGGAGCACAGGCTCCGGACGCGCAGGCTCAGCGGCCATGGCTCATGGGCCCAGACGCTCCGCGGCACGTGGGATCTTCCTGGACCGGGGCACGAACCTGCGTCCCCTGCATCGGCAGGCGGACTCTCAACCACTATGCCACCAGGGAAGCCCTATTTGCTATTTTTAAAGTAATCCAAAAAGTAGTATTTTAAAACATATCTTAAGAAAAACATATCTTAAGAAATTCTGGGGACATCCCTGGTGGCGCAATGGTTGGGAATCCGCCCGCCAATGCAGGGGACACGGGTTCGATCCCTGGTCCGGGAACATCCTACATGCCACAGAGCAACTAAGCCCGTGCACCACAACTACTGAGCCTGCTCTCTACAGCCCATGAACCACAAATACTGAAGCTCGCACGCCTAGAGCCCATGCTTTGCAACAAGAGAAGCCATCATAGTGAGAAGCCCACGCAAGGAGGGAGCCTGCACACAGCAACGAAGACCCAATGCAGACAAAAATTTAAAAAATAAAAAATAGGGCTTCCCTTATGGCGCAGTGGTTGAGAGTCCGCCTGCCGATGCAGAGGACGCGGGTTCGTGCCCCAGTCCAGGAAGATCCCACATGCCGCGGGGCAGCTGGGCCCGTGAGCCATGGCCACTGAGCCTGCGCGTCCGAAGCCTGTGCTCCGCAACGGGAGAGGCCACAACAGTGAGAGGCCGGCGTACCGCAAAAAAGAGTTGCCATTTAAAAAAGTAAATAAATAAATAAATAAAAACTTTAAAAAAGAAAAAAAAGAAAATCTGTGTATATTTTATAAAACTGAGTGTGTGTATGGAAAAAATGACTTTAAGGATATACAGCCGTATGTCAGTCGTGTTTGTCTCTGAGTAATGGGATTTATTAAAAGGTAATAGAATCAGTAGAAGGTCTAATCCATGTAAATGTAATTACAATTCTGTTTGCTTATTAAAAAAATCACACTGAAACAGCGGGACAAATTTGGCTAAATTGGAAAGTATGTTTGGGATGGAGTGATTTAAACTACAGTCTACATCTATATCCAGGACATTCACTTTGGGCTCCCCTAGAGACAAGCAGCTTGCAAAGCCACAGAACTCTTAGACACAACAAGGGCTCCTGGTAATTCAAGGAGGCATGCCGAGTATATCATGACCTCATGGTTGGAGAAAAACAACAGGGATTTCAAATATGATCCCCAAGTTTAAGGTCACATGAGCTGGTGCTCTGAGTGACAGGTGCTGGCTTACGAATCACGTCTTCCTAGGTGGGCCACTATACAAGTCCAGGTGGGAAGGTATGCTTAATTATTCTTCCCAGGTGGAGGATGAATGAGCTTACCCAGAGCCTGTAGTTTGGGCCATTCATAAAAAAATGGGGAATGCTAAATGTAAGAAAAGAGATAAAAGAGTGTTGGGGACGACTCATCTACATTCCCCCATCTTGTCCTAGGTTTTAGCATTCCATTTTCTCAATGCAAAGTATCTTTGAGTAACTTAACCCGGTCAGATGTTTGCCATGTTTCTTTTATAGTTGTTCCTTTGTTCTGTTTGTTTTCCCATCTAACTGCTGTAGAAGGCTTCTGCTATTTTCTGGCAGTTTCCAGAGAGAAGCCAGCTGACTGATGGGGAATTCAGGTCATTTGAGAGACAAAGGCCTCACTGAATGTTCTTTGAATCTGTCTTTCTGTTCTTCTGACATGGTTGGTGGGAAAGGAGGTGATAGGGAAGTGATGGGAAAAGTATCCTAACGTTTCAGCTTCTACATTCCTTAAGAAAAGTTTTCTCTCTGCATCTGTCTTGTTCCAAGCTATCACATATGGGAAAATTTCCAAAGATGCTTTTAGCAAAGATCCCTGTCTATATGAAGTATTGGCCACAACTTCTTAAAAATAGTGAGGGGAGAGGGGTCCCAGTTTTGATAACAGGGTTGCAGGTGACTTTAAAAATATATACCTATCTGTAATTTAAACTTTTCTCCAATAAACATGTATTACTGGTAAGTATTTTTTTTAAGATTTTACATTTTTTCATTAGAAAATGATAAAGCTTGGTAAACTGCCATTTGGCAACTTACCAAGTGTTAGGCATCTACACTGAGACCCAACTAAAGAAACCTCACCTGCAAAATTATGCCAAGTCACAAGGATTTTATAAATCCTTTGTATATGGCAAAACGTGCTTCTCCTCCTCTGAAAGCTAGGAGTTGTGGGTCAGGCCTCTCATGTGGGAAACCAGGAAAGATACCCTCAAAGTCTGGGTCAGCTTTACAGGAAAATAACTGCTTGAGTCAGGTGTGGAAGGAAGAGAAAGAGGAGGGAAGGTGGACAGCAGGAGGCCACTGGCTGGAAACACCTTCTGGGCTGAGCTGGGGGAAGAGCAGAGTTCACCACAGGTCACCACCCAGATCACCATCAAGGCCCAAGGGAAGATGCCTGTGGATGGCAAGACAGCCATTTTTTCTTCAAGAAGACATCAATTACCTGTAGTTATCCTGGCAAGTAAATTTGATATTCCTTTGCCTTATAATCTGTCTCAGATCATTTATGGAGGAACCCGAGCAGGAGTCACTGGGGAAAAAAAAGAAGAAAGTGTTAAAATAGCAAGAGCTCACAAACATTTCCTGAGTCTCTTGGTTTCTTCCAGGTAGCAGGCCCTGGTCAAGGCCCTGGGGTAAAGAGGTGAAGCAGAGGTAGCTTCTAAGAGCTCACAGGTCAGCAGTAGAGCCAAAGGTATGAACTACGTAGATACCTACCATGGAAATAAAATTAAGAGACTGTTGGAATGGGGTAAATGTAGAGTAAGGCCCCATTCATTTCCTGAGCCAGTCCTTTCTCAATGCATTTCTGTGACTGTGGACTCTTTCATGGACTGATTCCTGAAATAACCCTGAGAATATATGGGTACAAGGTAGTAACATATACCTGGGAGATTTTCCAAGGTCATGGATCACCCAAGCCTGTAGCGTATGAACCTTCATTGGATTCAAGTTATGGACTTCCACACGTCCAAAAGTGCTAAGATGGGAGAGACAAAGAACATTGTTAACCCCAGACTAAATTTTTCAGGCATCCACAGCCCCTGTGAAAAGCCAACAGGCGGCGTGCCATTGGTTAGAACTTACCCTTTGGATGTGATCCATGATTTGCATTAAAATCAGGCATCTTTACTCATTCAGTGTGACCCTAAATGAGTAAGATTCTCAAAAGAAGATTCTTAATCTGTACCTTGATGTTGACTCTTTAAGTACTTGCTATTCCAAGAGTGGGCCTTAGACCAACGTAATGAGCTCGTTAGACCTGCAGAATCTCTGCCCACCACCACCTGCTGAATCAGAACCTGTAGCCAAACAATCGCCAGGTGATCTACTCACTCTCTGAGTTTGAGAAGCACATTGTTGAAAGACCCCGATGTCCTGCTCTAACCCCAGCCTTAAACTCTCCCCATTAGTCTCTACCACTCCTGTTACAAGTACTTGGATCCCTAATATCAGATTACAAAATTCTGGAATGTTAACACTTGTACTCAAAAACCTACAAGTTTGGGGTCAGAAGAAGATAGAAGGACGAATGTTTCTTGGTGGAATTAAACATTGAAAGAGGAGAGAAGGAAAATTAATTTGGGGCACGTGGAGTGCCTGGGGCACATTAATACATGCTCCCTCCTCTCAGTCAGACTTATCCGGGGAAAGACTGAAGAAGAGAGACTGGAAAGGTAATCAACGTGGTAAAAACTGTAAGTACGGAAAGGGGTTAGAGAAGGAAGGCATGAGTGTGACCAGAGTCAGTGGTTAAAGGAGTGGATGTGGAATCTAGAAAAATGGTACAGATAAACTTATTTGCAAAGCAGAAATAGAGTCACAGAAGTATGACTTATGGTTACCAAGCGGGGGAAGGTGGGGTGGGACGAACTGGGAGATTGGGACTGACATATATACACTACTATGTATAAAATAGATAACTAATGAGAACCTACTGTATAGCACAGGGAACTCTACTCAGTGCTCTGTGGTGACCTAAATGGGAAGGAAATCTAAAAAAGAGTGGGTATATTTATATGTATAACTGATTCACTTTGCTGTACAGCAGAAACTAACACAACATTGTAAAGCAACTATACTCTAAGAAAAATTAATTAAAAATATGGAATTTCCTTAGTGGCACAGTGGTTAAGAATCTGACTGCCAATGCAGGGGACATGGGTTCGAGCCCTGGTCCCGGAAGATCCTACATGCCGTGGAGCAACTAAGCCCGTGTGCCACAACTACTGAGCCTGCACTCTAGAGCCCGCGAGCCACAGCTACTGAGCCCACATGCCACAACTACTGAAGCCTGCGTGCCTACAGCCCGTGCTCCACAACAAGAGAAGCCACCGCAATGAGAAGCACATGCAACACAACAAAGAGTAGCCCCCGCTCGCCGCAACTAGGGAAAGCCCGCGCAGCAACGAAGACCCAACACAGCCAAAAATAAATTAAATAATTTTTAAAAATTAATAAAAAAGTAAAAAACAAAGGAGAGGACAATAACTGATACTCATCCAGCACTTTCTCTGTCAGGCACAGGGCTCAGCATTTTTCATATATTATCCCAGTTAATCTTCATATCACCAGCACCTCCTCAGGTACATACATACTACAGGGGCCCTGCTAAGGTCACATAGGTGAGATGTCATGACCTCTGGAGTCCCCACTTTTAACCACTATAATAAACCACTGACACTGTCTGCAAAGAGGTAATGAAGGTCAAACGCCCAGCAGAGCTCCTGCTGTTCCCAATAGTAGACTTACTGCTGACTTGGGATTCATACCGTCCAGGGAGGAGAGAGGAGTCGGGCAGATCTTCGTGGATGGTGAGACTTTAGACAGTCAGAAGGAAGGAGGGGCCAGGTCATATGGGGGAGCAGCGTGAACAAAGGTAGAAAATGGACAGGATGGAGTGTCATGGGAGAGAGAGCTGAGAAGATTATAGCAGGCATCGTAAAGCCAAGAGGAGGAGCTGGACACGTGCAAGGACCATTAGGACTTTTGGAGGATTTTAAACAATGGAGAAACCAGACAAAAGTGTTGACTTCGAAAGACAAAGCTCACCATAGAATACAAACATTTTACCTTTTTTAGCCCGGATTCAGTACTGGCCTTCAACATGAAAAGCATATTCTTCTAAAGATGAAGTGGCCAATAGGAGACTGTGCTAACCCTTACAAATAGGATGCAAAGAAATAAGTACCTCTTTCTATCAAAGGCGTTACTGATGGATCCATTGAGCAGCACCTGGACCACACCACAGGCATTTTCTGCAAACTTAAGAACAGAAACACCATTCCTCAGCATGCAAACTTAAGTGCCACGCCCCAGCACTTCCATCCCAAACAGCTCTTAGCATCATCTGGTGAAGGAGGAACGGCCTGTATGGCTCTAGCTTGGTCAGGCCAGATCTGTGTAATTTTCATCCCAAGCCATTGGAGGGATTATGCTTCCCATGAGAGTTTTCTGGAAGCAGTTGCTCCAATCTGTGTCTGAACAATGAAATTCAGCATCATCACTGCTAAATTGGTGGTTCAGAAGGTGGAAGTCCAAGGACCCCCCTGGCAGTCCAGGGGTTAAGGCTCAGTGCTTCCAATGCAGCGGGTGTGGGTTCGATCCTTGGTCAGGGAATTAAGATCCTACATGCCATGTAGTGTGGCCAAAAAAAAAAGAAATAAAAGGTGGAAGTCCAGATGAGTAACAGCAACATAATCACTGAAGGAGGAAGGTAAAAGCACTTTCTTGGGGCCATGCACTGTAGACACTGCACATTTCATTTAGTGGGAGCAGAGTAGACACGTAAGGAGTAAAAGAAATGAAGAAAGAAAACAGAAAACGCCAAGAAAAAAGAAACTGTGGAGAGATGGTGACACTGAAGCCTGCAATGGCATAAAGAGAAACGAGGAATGGATGAGTGTATATTTTTGAGCAAGGGGTTTTATTCCGCTGGAATCTTCCCTAGGCACTGGGGGAAAACAGGATGAACCAAACTAAGCAATATACTTGTTTCCTCCAGGAGGCCCATCCAGGTCCCTGGGCCTAGCTCAGGTCTCCTTCACACATGATACAACTATACCGCATTGTGAGGTTGAGCTTAACACGGGGTTAGCCACCAGTACTGAGCGTTCTGTGAGAGCTGTGAGCCTGGCTGTCCCGCTCGCCACTGCAGCGCTGGAGCCTCGCAGCTAGGGCACGGCACAGAGTGGGCGCCCAGGGAGAATCCACGCATGGAGAAGAGGCAAGGGAAAGGGGAGGCAGGAAGTCCAAATACTCTGCGATGGAGAGTATGGAAGAACCCAGGACAGCAGAAGCCAAGTCCTGAAGGATGAATCGGATTCTGCCTGGTAGAGGTCGAGGCAGACGCAAACCAAAAGGCCCAGGAGCTTGCGAGAGGAGTGATGTTTGGGGGAAAACTTCGGTGGATGCTGAAGCTAGGTAGATGAGTTAGTTCGCAGAGGGCCATGAACACTTTGCCAAGGAATCCAGCCTTTACTCCGCAGGAGATAAAACACTACTGAACAATTTGAAAGGGAATTGTGAAAATCCTGTGCAGTGTCGGTCTTTCTCCTGGGGGTGATGAGCAGAGAACAGAGGCCCGATTACTATCAGTCACAAACGCTAACCCAACAGATGGGTGCCAAACACTAACCCTGTCCTATGTAAGTCTCAACAGCCCCCGCAGAGTAAATTTTGGGTGAGTTTGCCCCAAGGTCACGTCACTTGGAAGCAAGGAAATGAGCTGGTGGGGGGGTTGGGGGGGGACGGAGGGGGCGGGGGGATCCAAACCACCAAGCAGCACTGCCTCTGGTGTCAGAAAAAGAAAAGATCAAGTCGGATGAAAGAAGCCCATTTACATCCATCTATCTATGAGAACTTGGCCAATATAAAGGTGCAGTCCCAGGGGAGCTCACAATGGTAGAGCACCTTCCTTCATTTTCCTGTGCTCCTGGCCCCAAGGACAGTGTGAGGAACACAAGTAGGTGCTTGTCACATACAAAATGTGACTTGGCTTTCAACGTTTTCAGCAACGGCACTGCCACCAAACAGATCACAGACTGATAACATAAATAGAAACTATTCTCAGAAAAAGCAAACAAACAACGACTTACCCTTTTGGACACCAAGTCCCAGAATACAGAAACAAAGTTGTTGCTGCAGTCTTTCTTCCAGTGTGGACAAGATTGATAGTTCATTTCTAAAAGACATAGTTTACAGAAAATAATTAAAGTGGAAAAGAAAAGGTATAATTGATCTCTGTTCTTCGCGGGCTATTGGATCCCAGTGGAGCTACTTTCCAGTGGCATCCCCGCCAAGATGGAGGATGGAAAATGGACACATCTCAACCCAATTTAACTAAGTGCCCCCTGAATCCCTTCCAAGTCCTTACCTTACCCTCCAAATCCCAGACAGGAACACAGTGACCAGCTTTGAGTCATCATTCTGGGAAATTACAGCAAAGGTTCATCTGACAGAGACAAGCCCCTCTGTATTATTTCCGCTTCCAGGAAGAATTAGAGATAATTTCCTCCCCCACCACCTTCTGTCTCCACACCCTTAGGCTCAGATGCCCTCAGAGTCTTTCTACACTCGCCCCATCCAGACAGGCTTAGCTGTCAGTGAGGAACCACAGACATAAGGCATGAACACATAGTTTCTGTGATACTTCTTCCAAGGATATCTGCTTTAACGCACCAGCATTTATTTTTTTAAATTTTTTTATCGAGGTATAATTGACAAATCGAATTGTAAGATAATTAAATGGTACAGTGTGATGATTTGATATGCATACACATTGTGAAAAGATTCTCCATCAAGTTAATTAATATGTCTATCACCTCATATTCTTTTTTTTTTTTTGATGAGAACTTTGAAGTTCTACTCTCTTAGCAAATTTCAATTACACAATACAGAGTTAACAGTTATAGTCACCATGTTACACCTTAGATCCTCAGATCTTATCTGTCTTATAAATGAAAATTTGTACCTTTTACCAACTTCTCCCTATTTCCTCCACTTTCCAGCCTCTGGAAACCACTTATCTACTCTGTCTTTATGAGTTCCACCTTTTTTTTTTTGGATTCCACATATAAGTGATACCATGCAGTATCTGTCTTTTTCTGTCTGATTTATTTCACTTAGCATAAAGTTCTCCAGTTTCACAGTGTTGTCACAAATTATGGGATTTCCTTCTTTTTAAAGGTTGAATAATATTCCATTGTGTGTGTGTATTTACATATATATACATACATATATACACATATATATACATATACACATATATGTACATACATATATATATACATTTATTTTATTTTATCCATTTATCCATTGCATTTGACTACACAAACATTTATTGAGTGTTAGGCCCTGGAGATAGAGAGATGAATTAGATAAAGTCCCTGCCTTCAGAGGCCACATAATCTACTATAATCAAATAATTCAGAGAAAGAGCAACTTGGGTTGGGGGTGGTGTGCAGCACCATGTGGGAGGGTTGACGTTGAACTTGGTTTTGAAGGATGAATAGAAGTCTTCAGACAGACGCGCTAGAGAAAGGGGCTCCATGCCGAGAGAGCATGTGCAAAGGCACAGGGTTTAGATTTGTACCGCCAGAGTAGAAGGGATAAGGAGGGGATAGATGGAAGATGAGGTATATGAAAGACAAAGGCCAGGCCAGGCCAAGGAATTCCGACTGTATCTTAGAGGCAAACAGAGCTATTTGGGTTTTAAGTAAGAGACAGAAACAATTCCATTGTGGTGTCCAGACGGAGGCTGACATAAAGGGGTCAGGGGTGAGCAGTTAGGATCCGACAACAGTCCAGCAAGAAAGGAGGGGGCATTAGTGATCTGGATTCAGGCAATTGTAACAGCACAAGAAAGAAAGGATGAACTGCTAGGTAAATGACTAGGTTGGTGACAGATTGGGTATGGCAGAGGAGGATGGAGTGAGAATGAAGGCAGAGTCTGGGATTGTCTCACCTCAACTTTGCATCATCCAGCAGGTAGGGGAAGTGTGGGGTGAGAAGCCCTGGAACCCTCTCTTGGTGTCCCAGAGGTCAGGCATGCGGCAGCCACCTATTTCCGCTGTGGGTACGCGTACAGCTGACCCTGCACAAATACCCATCTTTCTACTTCCACTTTGTTATAGGTTGAATCGTGTACCCCCAAAAGATATGTTGAAGTCCTAACCTCCAGTACCTGGGAATGTGATCTTTTTTTTGGAAAAGGGTGTTTGCAGATGTAATCAGGTCAAAATGAGATCATTAGGGTGGGTGGGTCCTAATCCAGTAAGACTGCTCTACTTATAAGAAAGGGAAGTTTGGTCACAGAGACAGACAAGCACAAGATGCACAGGGAGAAGACAGCCATGTGAAGATGGAGGCAGGGACTGGCATGAACCAAGGAACACCAAGGGTTGTCAGCAAACACCAGAAGCTAGAAGAGGCCAAGGACTCTCCCCTGGAGCCTTCAGAGAGAGCACAGCCCAGCCAACACCTGATCTAGGACTTCTAGCCTCCAGAACCGTGAGAAAATAAGTTTCTATTGTTTTAATGCCGCCCAATATGTGGTACCTCATTACGGCAGCCACAGGAAACTAATATAACCACAGACGTGGGCTTGACTGCCAGTGACCTGAAAGAAAGTTCTAGATCAGAAACACTTCCGGGGATGAGGAAGTAATCCTGGGAGTTTTTATAATAATTAAATGCATTAAAAACAAAACAGCACAAATTAGAAAAAAAAATCCATGTACAGATGTAAGTAATTACTGCAGAGTCAAAAGATAAATTTGAATCATCTCCAATAGATGCAAAACTGTTGACGATGATGAAATGAACATAATTTTGTAAGGTGCTACAAGGGTGCCCCTGTTCATAGGTTTTCATGAACATAAAGCTCTTTTATCTTCACAACTATATCTGGAGAGAAGTCTCTGAGTTTCACCTACCCTCTCCCCACAAGGATGCTCCCCCTTGCCACCTGCCCATTAAATAAAATTTGAACATCACAGAGAAAAAGAAAAGGAGAGAAATTTTACAATAAAGTAAGATAAATTAAGTATATAAAAAAAGCAGAATAAGGAGTTAAAAAAAGGGAGAGATTAGAAGCTTATAACAGAAACTATGACTTTCATAATAAAACAAGTAAACAAGGCAAAACCAAGGTAGAAAAAAATTAAGGAAAAATTGTTTAAGCCAGACAATAGAACAATTAAAATATAAAAATTAGGAACCAGAAAAACAGCAAATAAAATAAGGAAAAGAGGTTAAAATCAATAAAAATTGAGGCCAAAGGAGAAGGAAGTAGACAGAATAAAACAACCTATACAGGATTCAGTTGAATAGAAAGCAAAAATAAAGAACTCTGAAAGGTAATCTGATGAGAAATAGATTTCTTTATTTCTCCAGTCTTTTCTAAGAAAGAACTGACGTGGTATATTGAAAAATAAAACTAAAAGCAAAGTTTACAGGAAATACATTTAAGCTAAAAGGGTTAAATGAATGACCTTGATAAGCTAACTTGCAATAAGGGAAATTTAAAAAGGAAAGCAAGAAATATGGCAAAAACTATAAAAGTTAACCAAAAAGAAAAAGAGTAAATGGAGAGATATATTTATATGCCATATTTCTAGGTGCAAAGAGTCTGGATTAAAGATTAATTGAAAAGTTACAAAATAAAAACACTAGATGAAAATATAGAAAACTCTCCAATCTTGAGTAAGAAAAATTTAAGCAAAATATGGAACCCAACAGCCAAATAGGAAAGGATAGACAGATTTGTTGCATTTCTGTGCGGCAAAAGACAATATAAACAGTATTAGAAAAAAAACAGAAACTGAGAAAAATAGATTTGCCACCTTTGTGCCAGAAAACAGGCAGGATGACACGTGGTTAAGAACACAAGTTCTATAGCCAGTAATCGTGGGTCTCTCCCAGCTCTGCCACTCACTAGCCGGCAACTTACTTAACAGCCCTGTGCCTCAGACTCCTCCTTTGTATAATGAGATCATCACAGGGGCTGTGAAGTATTAAATGGGTGAATATTCATACAGCACATAGAACAACAGCCCATAAGTAGTAGCTACTATTGTTAATTTATATTGAACTTCTATAAATAAGAAAATAATAGACATCCCAATAAAAAGGATTAATATATATGAACTGCCAGTTTACAATAGAAATAAATATCCACCATTAAATATACAAATATACTCAGCTTCACAGCAAAAGAAATGCAAAAATGAGCCGAGGTATTATTTCTTTATCAAAATGGCAAGACATTTTGAAGTATTATTGTCCAGTGTTGGTGAGGGTCTGGGTAAACAGATTATCTCATATATTTTGAGAGTATAAATTGTTACCACCTTTCAAATAACAATTTGTCACTTTCCACCACAATTTATTCCACACTGAAATTCCAGCCGTAGACATTTATCTTTCAGAAATACTTCCACAAGCATGCCTGTGTGTGTGTGCACTCATGTGCGTGTACAAAAGCGCTCCTTGCGATGGTGGTTGTAACAGCAAAAACATCTGAAAAACCTAAGTGTGCAGCAATCGGAGGTTGTTCAGATAAATTATGATGTGTCCGTAGAGCACATAAGATGAGGCCTTTTCAAAAGATATGGCTGTATTTATACCTACTAATTTTAAATGAATAAAGCAAGTTGCAAAACAGTGTGTGTACATTTCAAGGACACAGACTGTCCCCGACTTGCGATGCTTGGGTTTAGGATTTTTCAACTTTTTGACAGCGTGAAAGCGATATGCATTCAGTAGAAACCATAATTTGACTTTTGAATTTTGATCTTTTCTCAGAGTGGTGATATGGGGTCTGATCCTCTCTCGTGATGCTGGGCAGCGGCAGTGAGCCACAGCTCCCAGGCAGCCACGCCAGCCAGCGGGTAAATAACCAAGACACATACGACCACTCTACACCCAGACAACCATTCTGCTTTTCACTTTCAGTACAGTATTCAACCAATAACATAAGCTATTCCACACCTTATAAAATAGGCTTTGCGTTAGGTGACTTTGCCCAGCTATAGGCTAATGGAAGTGTTCTGAGCACATTTATGGTAGGCTAGGCTAAGCTACGATGTTCAGTAGGCTAGGTGGATTAAACGCATTCCTGACTTATGATATTTTCAATTTATGATGGGTTTATGGGGACATAAGGAAGATCTGTATGTATTTATGTGAGCGCAGGGAAATGCAGGGTATGTACCAAATTGTTGACAACAGTCCCCCTTTGGGAAGGAGCATGAAAATTGAGGAGTGGGGGAACTGGAATTTTTGCTTTTTACTTTGAGGCATTTCTGTATATGCAAGTATTTTTCGATTAAGAGTACATCTTGGGCTTCCCTGGTGGCGCAGTGGTTGAGAATCCGCCTGCCGATGCAGGGGACGTGGGTTCGTGCCCCGGTCCGGGAAGATCCCACATGCCGTGGAGCGGCGGGGCCTGTGAGCCATGGCCGCTGAGCCTGCGCGTCCAGAGCCTGTGCTCCGCAACGGGAGAGGCCACAACAGTGAGAGGCCTGCGTACCGCAAAAAAAAAAAAAAAAAAGAGTACATCTTTTTTGTAATTGGAAATAATGCAAATCTGGGTTGAAGAAGCTACTACAATAAGTTTTTTTAAATAGTCAAAAGCAATAAAAATAAGAATAAAACTATATAAAGTAAAAATATCCACATTATAAATAAAAAGAGAAAAAAAGAAGTGAAATGAGTCAATCAGGCTTTCTCAGTAGAAAACATCTCCCCACAGTGAGGTGTTCTGGGTCTTTCTGGGCAAGGAAGGTGACTTCTGATCAATGGCAAAGCCACACACTGGCCCTAGACCCAGAGAAGCCCAGCATGTGGTCCCTATGGCTGTTCTGTGGAACAAGGACTTTGGCCTGGTTCCCTCGGAGTCCTCATTCTGTTCTAGAATTCTTTGGTCCTGAATGATGCCCTTATAGAAAGTAAAACACCAACAATTCAGAAGCAGGCTACTCTTGCACTCAGAAAGGAGGGCATCAGGAAGCATGAACAGCCCTAAACTCTAAAGTCAATTTTTCTAGAAAACATGAGTTGGTCTACAGAATTCTGTTTTACATGAGCCTGAGTTGTCATTAAGGGTATAGATGCCATCAGGGTGGGCTCCTGTGGCTCCTTCCTCCACACTTATCTTCTGGAATCCCTAGCAGAGCTCAGGGCTCCTGCACCCTGCACGTCCCCAGGCGACCCCAAGTGGACCAGATCCTCACCATAAGAGCCTGCAACTCCGCACCAGTGAAGGTCATCTGCAATGTAACCCATCAGTGTGTCTTCCAGGGTGAACATATCTCGCTGGACCTTCGTGTACTGGTGCGCCAGCTCCTTGCTTTTGCTCCAAAAGACTGTCTAAGAGAGAATAAAGACAATCTATTATTGAGATCAATTTACTAAGTCAAAAAAACTCCACCGAATTTGCATCTTTTTAAATGAAAGAAAACATAGGAAACATCAGAATAAATCACCTATAGTAAGAGTAGGTGTTGCGGGTTTCACGGATCTCTGTGTGTGAGAATGAGAGAGAGTACATGTGTGGAGGGTGTGTGTGTGTGTGTGTGTGTGTGTGTGTGTGTGTGTGTGTGTTCTCTAGGTCATGATGTAAAGTGAAGTTATTATTCTGGATTGCAGGGAAAAAAGTCTCAAAGCCACTGATCAAAATCTTATAATAAACCTAAGCTCCAAACACATCTGGGGGAGGCATTAGGTAGTCCCAAATTCTTAAAGTTCTCAGCAAAACAATTTTTTCTAAGTGCTATTTTCTGGGAGAAGTGCCCTTTGATTCTTAAACAGCTCCATAACCCCTGCTTTTTTTCCCCGAAATTCCCCTATCCCCTTACAAAAAAAGGAAAAGAACAAATATAGTGAGTTTTTGCAGGGTCCTTTGTAAAGGTGCAGAAAGTCAAATTTCAGAACAATCTTCTGCTCCATGGATCTATTCATTCTTAGTAGGAGGCAGTGGAGGTTTGAAGCCGGGGCCCTGGAGTCATGCTGCCTTATGAAACCCAGCATCACTGCTCACTGGCTGTCTGACCTTGGACAGCCAAAGAATTGCTAAGTCTCACATTCCCCATCTGTAAAAGGTATTGATAATAATTGTAAGGAAGTCCTGAGATGCTGAGATGAAATGAGACAGTGCAAATAAGGTGTTTGTCCCGTGTCTGTGGGCAGTCACTTATTCAGCCAGTGTCCCCTGGTGATGATTTACCAGCAGCTACTCTGTGTTGGGCTTTGGGCTTGGTGTACACCCCGGAGTTCCATAGTCGCTCCAGCTCTAACAATGGGAGGAGACTGTAATGTGTGGCTGTCTTAAGGGCTTCGTGAAGATGATTTGGGGCACATTGAATTTTCACTTTAAACACTGACTTTAGAAAGGATGCACTCCATTACAGACCTTTTCCAGTATAATTAATGTATTAAAACCCAGGCCTCTATGGCTCTAAATCTTGGGCCATTTACATTTCAACTGGTCACTTTCAAGACCATCAAACTTGAGTAATCACTGGTCACCTAAACTTGCCACGCCTCAGTTTTCTCTCTAGTGAAATGGGATTGCTGATGTCTGACCTACCTATTCCTGTGAAATAGTGTGAAATACTAACAGGATACTGTGAAATACTGTGAAAACCTAACAGGATAAAGGTTCAGAAAGTCATTTGGAAGCAAAAAAAGGCCCTCAGCAAATGCAAAATGGCATTGTCCTCATCGTCATCATCGGAGGTCAGGGAGAGTTTTGCAGTTCTATAAGGTGGATTATTTTTGTTTGGATTGGGTTGGGGTTTGTGTTAGGTTTGTTTTGCCTGATTTTTGGCCGACTCTCCTTTCCTCTTTCTCTGTCCCCAGTTCTCTCTCTTACCTCCAGTCCCCAGATGTTCTAAATCCCAATGACATCCTGGTCTCCCAATGGACCCCAAGCTCCCTCCCTGCCAACCATGCCTACATCCTAATATACAGATTTTCCTCTTCCCTCATCCTGGTCAAAATGTAGTCCCATGACCTCTTCCCTTTGACTTTTATCTTCAGTTTTCAAATCCATAACTTGACCCAGTTACCTTGTCACAAGGCACCATTTGATTCACCAGCTTCATCAGTGGGTGGTAGTCTTCCTCAGTCGCGCTGCAGGGGTCCTTAGAGATAAATGCATTCCTGAATGCCTCCCTGATCTTTTGGCAGTCTCTATCTCTGTGAGATAAAACATGGGAAGTAAAATAAAAGATGAATAATTGATTTCAAACATATGTTTAGAGCATAATTACCCCAAAAAATTCTGTGTGCCAGGTGGTTCATATACACCATCACGTCTCATGTGTACAAGAGTTTTATGAGATGAGCATCACCCTCCCTGCCCTACAAGGTCCCTGCACTCGTGGGGCTTACTCTCTGGTTAGAGAGACAGACAGTATACAAACAAGCAGATAAGCTAACGAAATAAGTATGGATTATGATAAGTATGCAGGAAATCAGTGGGGAATATTGAAGCAATGACCACTGGTCTGGAGAGGGCGCCCTGAGACTAAATGTTGAGAAGGAGTGCATTCCAGACAGAGGGTGTCACAAGTGCAAAGGCCCTGAGGCAGAAAAGAACTTGCTGATTTTGAGGAAGTGAGAAAAGAACAAAGGGAACGGTGGTGAGAAATCAACCAAAATAATCAGTCTTTCAGACAAGGAAACGATTTCAAATTTTACCTAATTACCATGGGAAGGCAGTGGATAGGTTTAAGCATGGAAGTGACCTCATCTGATTTTGGGTTTTGAAAAAGTCACTCTGAGAAACTCTGTGCCAGCCCCAAAGATGGAGCAAAGTCTCTGAAATAGGAATTCCAACCCCATGTCCTCTCCAAACAGCCCCTGGCAGTGAAAAGGCAGGCTGGCAAAGCAGCAGAGATGGACGGGAGGGAGGGATGCTGGAGAAGATTGCAGCTGGACCTTCCCTTCTGTGTCTGTGTTAACTAGTGCACCCAAGCCCATCATTTCCTGGGGGGAAGGAAGTGGGTTTCCACTGGGAGTGCTCAGACATGGTTATCAGGACAAACTCCAGCCTTTGGACCCGGCATCCCAAGTACAGTACCAGGTCAGGCAGCTAAACCTGGGGGAGTGAAGACGAGCCCCTCATTTTCTATTCCCTCTGAGCCTGCTCTGGCCCTGCAGGGCACAAACAAAGCAGCCATTCCAGAGGGTCTTTTGCCTTCCCAACTCAGGCTGGCCAAGTCGAGTGGATTATTCCTCCTGATAAGCCAGGGAATCAGAGGATACCTGTGAGACACAGGGCCTTACACCAAAGCCACCCTGTGTAGGTTGGAGACTCATCTTCTCAGTCCAAAATCGCTGCTCCAGTTCCAGCCATCATGACTACATTGCAGCCAGCAGGAAAGGTTAGGGAACAAGAAAGGAGGAGAAGGAAGAGAAGGGAGAAGTAACTGCAGCAATGGCCATGTGCCAGCTGCCTTTTAAGGACAGGTGCTAGAAGATGTTCTTGCTATTTGCTCTTATCATATTTGCTAAAATGTAGTCATGGGCACACTTTGCTACAAGGCAAGATGAGAAAGGCAGCCTTTAATGTTGATGGCCATTCCACATCAAAAAGTACAGTTTTACCACAATGAGATATCACCTCACACCTGTCAGAATGGCTATCATCAAAAAGAACACAAACAACAAATGTTGGTGAGGGTGTGGAGAAAAGGGAACCATCCTACGCTGTTGGTGGGAATATACATTGGTGCAGCCACTGCAGAAAACAGTACGGAGGTTTCTCAAAAAACTAAAAATAGGACTACAGTATGATGCAGCAATTCCACTTCTGGGGATATATCTGAAAAAAATCAAAAACACTAATTTGAAAAGATACATGCACCCCAGTGTTCATAGCAGCATTATTTACAAGTTCCAAGATATGGAAGGCCCTAAGCGTCCATCAACAGATGAATGGATAAAGAAGATGTGGTGTACACGTATACAATGGAATATTACGCAGCCATGAACATGAATGAAATTTTGCCATTTGGAGCCATACGAATGGACTTGGAAGGCATTACGCTAAGTGAAGTAAGTCAGACAGAGAAAGATGAATACTGTACGATCTCACTTATAAGTGGAAGCTAAAAAATGCAACAAACGAGTGAATACAACAGAAAAGAAGCAGACCCACAGATACAGAGGATAAACTAGTGGTTACCAGTGGGGTGGAGGGACAGGCAATATAGGGGTGGGGGAGTGGGAGGGACAAACTATTGGATGCAAGGTAGACTCAAGGATGTATTGTACAACATGGGATATAGCCACTATTTTATAATAACTGTACATGGAAAGCGACCTTTAAAATTTGTATAAAAAATTAAAATAAGAAAACCCCAAAAATTTAGAATAAAAAAATCATGAAAGCACAGTTTTAATTCTAGAGAAGGGACCGGCCTGCAGGCTCTGTCCCAGGAAGGTACCACCATTGTCCCATTTTACTGATAAAGAGGAAACTTTAAGGCTGTGAATTTAACCAATGTGCCCGAGGTAACATGATCAGTAAGTGGTAAAGCGGGATTGGACCCCAAATCTGTGGGTGCCTCCCACATGGCTACAGCCTTACCGGGCAGGCTATTAAACTGTTCCAGCCTGTTGTCTTCATCTGTAAGAGGGAGATAAGAATACTTCATGCCTGGGAAGTTTTGGAGGATTAAATGAGATAACACTTGGCTTGTCCCCCGGGCCCCCGGTTCTTTCATGGACGCCCCTCCCCTTCCCCAGCATGCATGGGACCGTTCACCTGCATCACTGCTGATCTGTGAAAGCTCTGCCGGGAAACCATTATCCACCTGGCTCTGCCCATACATTATATATGTAAGAGAAAAACGTTCTTACATAATGTACTTCGACATCAAAGTTTACGGGGCACCATCACGGGAAGTTTAGAGCAAAGGTGTTTGGAGGCTGTTTTACTTTAGAAGACCATGTTTTACTTCAATTCATGTAATGCAGTGGCCCTCACAGGAATTTCCTGTTCTGATCCCAACTCCCTCGTAAACTCTTCTGCCTCCCTCCTCAGCCACAAAGAGTGGAAGAGGAGAGACATCTCCTTGATGTGGAAGGACAAGAGAATTTTCCACCACAAAAAAACTGGCAGTTCAGTGAAATCACCACGCGCTGGGCACCTACCATACACCAGATGCTTTCACCACCAAAAACGGGAGAACTCACAGATCTCCGAGAAGATTTTTATGCTTTTTAGGTATATAGATGCCTTCAAGACACATTACCTTAAGAATTCAAGAAACCCCAGGTTAAAAATTAAAAGTTTTTATGCTTTTTAGGTATATAGACCCCTTCAAGACACATTACCTTAAGAATTCAAGAAACCCCAGGTTAAAAATTAAAGTTTCTTGTTTAGAAGGAGCAGAGTTTAGAACATCAGAGTTGAAACAGATCTTGGAAGAGTTTATAACTCATCCATCTTCCCTTTCACTGTCTGAGACCAGAGCCTCCTACATGCCCCAAAAGTGAGAGGAAATGGGGAGAGGTTATGAGAAGGTTGGGGACAGGCTTTATGAAGCCACTTTTCATCCTTAAAATCTGGGGTGGGGGGTAATAAATTTGGAGTTTGGGATTAAAATATACACACTACTAGAAATAAAATAGATAACCAACAGGGACCTACTGTATAGCACAGGGGACTATACTCAATATCTTGTGATAACCTATAATGGAAAAGAATCTAAAAAAGAATATATATCTATACATATATAAACAATCGCTTTACTGTATACTTGATACTAACACGACATTGAAAATCAGCTATATTTCAACAAAAATTTTTAAAAAATCAAAAGTAAACATTTCACCGTGGATGAGCAATAAGCATTTTAATTGGTAGATAGGTAGAAAGATAGATGGATGGAAAGAAAGATAGAGGGAATTCCCTGGCGGGCCAGTGGTTAGGACTCCACACTTCCACTGCAGGGGGCACGGGATTGATCCCTGGTCAGCGAACTAAGATCCCGCATTCAACGCTGCACAGACAAAAAAAAAAGAAAGAAAGAAATATAGATAGATAAAAATAAAAAGAAATTAGGACGGAGGGTACAGAGATGTCCGCAGTACTCATTCATACATGTCATTGCAGACGTGGGTCTCAAGTTCACAAGTGTGGCTGGAAAAATGTGAGCCCTTAATTTAGTTATTTTTATTTGCAAAGCCCACGGTCCTCATTTTTGTCCCCCCGGGTAGAGCACTCTTCCATCAAATCAAATGGCAGACAAGCAAAAGCTGTTTCGAGTGAGCAGGCTGGTTTCAAGGAAACAGAGGGCCTCAGGATCCCTGCGTCCTGCGGGGATGGAAGCAGATGTCTCTAGCTAAAGAGGCAGCGTGGGAGAAGTAAGAACCATTTCTGAGAGTTCAGTATCGCTCTTCTCTTCAATAGCTCCTCTGTTCCAAAATTAGAGGCTTTAATTGTGACACTTCTAGGGCGGCCTACCCTTCACTGTGAAGGGAATTGTCAGCCCAGCGGGCTGTTCCTGAGAACTCAGGCCATGCCTGTGGCCCCTACACATGGTCACCTGGCCCAGAGGGTTGTTGGGCGTCACCGGGTCTTGTGAACTCTGGCTGCACATGAGGATCCCCTGGAGAGCTTTGGTAAACACACAGTGCCTGGCTCTGGACCAACCAAGGCAGGGTGAGGGAAGGGGAAGAGAGCAGAACCTGTAATTTTCCAAAAGCTTCTCATTCCCACCTCCTCCCAGACCCCTGGAAACAGCCCTCCTGCTTCCTGTCTCAATGAATTTGAAGACTGTAGTTACCTCCTATAAGTGGACTCAGACAGTATTTTTCTTTTTGTGACGGACTTATTTCACTGAGCATGATTACCTCACGGTCTGTTCATGTTGTAACATGTGTCAGAATGTCCTTTTTTCAGGCTGAATAACATTTCATCGTAGGTATTCACCACAGTTTGTTTATCTCTTCACCCATCATGGGCACTTGGGTTACTTCCTCCACCCATCCTTTCATTCCACGAATATTTACCGAGGGCCTACTGCTAGCTTCACAACAGACACAGGGCTAAAAAGATAAATACACACCATTTCTATCTTCAAGGCACTCGTGTCAAGGTCTAGAGCAGACAAAGAACAAAACTCATTACAACTAAAGCACTGGTGGCTTGCCCAAGGCACTAAAATTTGCAAACACAATAAAGA